AGTCGAACTCTCATTGTTCCGAACCGAGACAGCGAGACCAGTCATCCCTTGCGGACTGCAGCTAGATGATGCATGGATGGGGTTGCACAACTGGTCCAGACTACTATTTTCCCTCCTTGCCACGCCATGCCCTGCCACGCCACGCCATGCCATGAGGACAGCCAGGTGGTTGCGCTAATGCACAGCTGGAAAGCCCAGATTGAGATCACCATCTTCTGTGTCTGACATGTGCGTACTAGCAAGCTCGCGTGTGTACTAGACATATCGCCTACTGCAGTGAAAGGGGCCAGGCCTCTCTAGGTCCAATTGTTTTGGGCTGCATATACTTCAGCAAATGCCCGAATACTACGTGACTAGGCAGTTCAGGGTAAAGTCCCTGCTTCCTTCATGTACGGCAGCGGGCTCAACTGTCCCACGCATATATTCTCAGTACTTGCCTACCCTACTGCTCATATCGGCCGGTCTGAAAACTTCTCACATCCCTGTCACCAATCCCGGACATCCGACTGTGGCAGAAAACAACCGCTGTACTAAATTCTCCGGTTGCACAACGTTCAAGCGAGCTAAGCATACGGCTTCGATATAGTCAGTATAGGAAGGCCCATCATGGCCCCTGGCGAGGAACGTCCCACTAGGAAGAATGCCATCACACGCCAATATAGGCGGATGCATGCAGCAGGCACTGCCAGGCCGTGAACAAGTGGTGGTCCATGGCGCAATCGACAACAGCGATATCTCACGCTGACCACAGTAAGCCAGTCAAATGTTTGTTTGTCCTTGATAACCCTGCGGTCCCTTGTTCTACTAGTCCTGCCACTGGCATCTTACATTACGCGGTACAGTATGTACATACAATACAATTTGCCACCACGCTCTCGCCATGCTGCCAGCCGATAATTGCATGCGAGTGTTTGCGCGTGGGGTCCAGGTTTCGGGGTCCGGGGAGAATGGAACACGGGAGCTCATGGCGTGGGCTCGGCTGATTGTGCAGATGAGATGGGGAAAGCCCTCCCTCCGCTCTTTCGCCCGAGTAACTGTACAAGAGGCAGAGGATGACAAGTGAGGGGTGTAAGAGCGTAGTCGGATGCAGTAGCCATTTTTCGAATTCATGTAAGCCAAGATCTTACAGCAGGAGGGTTGGGTAGCACAGAAGATATCCGACTAAAAGAGTAAACCCAACCCGTCCAGTCACCGCAAGAAAAGCCTGGCAGGCGGTCATACAGTGAGACGGTTGCGCCTCTCCTCCCCAGTATACACACTTAAATGGACGCATACACATCGACAATGGATTTGCCTCCTCCTACCGACCGGCTTTGCTTATCGGTTAGGCTTACCCCCCTTCACCTCATCGTTACTGATCTTCACATCTGCCAATTCCTCTTGTGTAGACCCGAACCGTGCATGTATATTTAGTTTTGGTCTGTATGCAGGCTGGCCGACTGACTGACTGAACGACTAGCCTGGCGCGGACCAGCCTGGCTGATTGACCGACCCAACCGACTGACAAAAGAACAAAAGATCCCACTCTCGACCTAAACCCATGTATGCGGTGTGTCTGTATGTAGCTTGCTAGAAGGAGACTAGATTCAGTGAACCCCGGGGTGTTCCTATCTATGAATTCTAATTACCAATATTCTCAAAAAATCTCAATGCTAGTCGGGTATTGAATGATTTCTTTTTTTCCCTTCGGGCCAAAGAACAAAAGCAAAGGAACAACCGGCAAGAAAGAGAAGTCTACCCATCGCGCCACCAGCGACCCAACGACCCGCCCGTGCCAGCCATCTCGACCACCTCGTCGAAGCTGATCTCCACCCGGAACATGCGCGCATCCGTCGTGCCGCTGCCGCTGCCGACGGGGCTGATGAGGCCCCAGCTGACGAGTTTCTCCCACGCCTCGCGGGCGACATCCCGGCCCCAGACGCGGCCGGGGGTGACGGCCGCGCCGGACACCGAGGCCGAGGTCTTGGCCGAGGTGAGCAGGCGCACGTACTCGGCGTACGCGGCGGGGAAGGAGAGGGCTAGGGGCCCGGATCCGGATCCGGATCCGGATGGGGTTTGGACGCTCTCGAGGCCTGGGTCGTAAAGCGCGGCGAGGCGGGTGGCGGCGAGGAGGAGGGAGAGCGGGAGAGAGGATGGGCTCGCGGAGGCGGTGATCGTGGGGGCGAAGGGTAACGGGGCTGGATCGGGGCAGGCGAGCGGGTGACTGGTGAACGTGGTGGCGGTGGGGATGGTGAGCTGGGAGTTGTTGCCGCCACCGTTGGTGGTGGTGATGGTGGTGGTGGTGTAGGTGCTGTGGTGCAGTTCGCTGATGGCCACCAGGGCGCTGGTGAAGAACTCCTTCACGGATCGGGTTTGGTAGTAGATCCGTCGTAGGTGAGCGGAGAATGCTTCGTCGGTCCATAGGCTCTGTATCGTGTTTGTGGGTTAGTGATGTGGGTTTTGGTGGGAAGATGGGGAGTCAAATTCACCTGTAGATACGTCCTCCATGCTGCGAGGAGTCTTCCCCAGCTCTCGGACTTGATGATCGCTTGCTCAGCAGGATCCGCGTCTTCCAGCAGGTCCGAGATCTCGTCGTCCTCGAGGTTGAGACCCGCGAAGCAGATGTCGGAGAATACCTCGAGGCTTCGTGGAAGAGGTACGTAGACGTAACGATGACTGAAGCGACTCTTGACGCGCTTTTCCAGCATCTCTGTTACTTCCACCTTGGTGGTGAGTCCCAGGACCGCGATGGGGGCCTTGCGCGCTTGCGCAATGTCGAACAGATTGTACAGAAGCGTCTGGCGAGGGTGCGTCACGAAGAGATCGAACTCGTCCAGGATGATGACGATCGACTTGGCGGCAGTCGCGTTTTCGGGGTCTGATGAAGGGCCAAACAGCTCCTCGTGATGGGATAGGAGCGCCAACAGAGTGGCCATCGTATCGGCATAGCTACTGACCTTGCCGGCTTCATCCTCGGTGTTCGTCTCGCGACCAAGCTGGCGCCACATCTCCCGGAGCGCCAGTCGGTCGTCCGTGTGTAGAAAGCCGTTGAGTCGGACGACGTGGAAATCGTTCTTATGCGACCTCCTCAGCGTCGCAATGATCGTCTCAAGAATGGCCGTCTTCCCGCTGCCGCGCGAGCCGAGAAGCAGCATCGAGTTACTCTCGCCGATTGAGACCGTCTGCTCAACGAGCTGGTTGACCTTGTCGAATTCTGTCTCCAGCCCCTTGAGAGGCACCCTCTTTTTCCCGTTCAACTTTTCGAGGACAACCTGGGTAAGAAATCGTAATTCTTCCGTCAAGCCCGTTTGGACGATAGACTGGAACTGTTCGGCATACGCAGGAAGCGGACTTTCCTTTGCAGCCGTCTGATCAACTTGGATTAAATCACTATTGGTAAGATCCTCATGCAATTGCATTGAAACGAGGTCTTCCAGTCCATCCTGGTAGTCATCTGGATTCGAGGACTCTCGGGACTCCTCCCTGCCTTTCGCTGAAGCCCCTTTCACGTCCGAGGTATCGAACCGCACCGAAGGCTTCTTCGCTCTGGTGGATCGAGTGCGCCGCTTCTGCGGCTCCGGAGATTCTTCGACCTCCTCCTCCTCCTCCTCTTCCTCCCGATTCCCAACACCGTCATCTTCTGACGCCGACACGTATTTCGCTCTCCGGACACTCTTAGTTGTGGATCCATTCTGCCTCGGCGTCGAGGCCGCCGCGCCCTTGCCCGATGGCGTCTCCACGATCTCGTCTCCATAACGTTTGGGCACTTTTCGCTGCCGACCACTTGACCGTACTCCAGCTCGCGACGGGTTCTCTGTTGCAACCGTCTCTTCAGCTTTATTGTTGTGGGCGTTATCATCCTCCACCGCTGGAGCACCTTGGGAGGATCGTCGGCGTTTCGATCGCGCAGAAACTGGCGGTGATCTTGGTTGCTCGTCAACCGGTTGCGCCTCCTCCGCTTCGGTCACTGCCTTGGAATTCTTATCTGGCGTAGGTTGCGACTGGTCTGTCGGAGCATTGATAGTATCATCGCGCATTTCCACATCTCCATCTTCATCCACGGCCTGTACATTCGACACCCTTCTCCTCTTGCTCGCGCGCGAGTCCTTCATTGTTGACGCCCGTCGGTATTTCGCCTTTATCTGGGTTCAAGGGTTTACTGTCGAGCTGCTAACTACCGAAAACTTGAGAGCTGTGTATTCATTTCACGGGGCCCGGTTTGTAGGGAAAAAAGTGTGATTGGCGAGTAAGTTGCACGGTTGGTTTATCGGCGAGAAGGGGAAGGATAGATAGGTAGTAACCTAAGGTGCGGAGAACGAAATAATCTCCAATGGCGGCCGATCGGTGCCCAATTGGGGGATGAAGGTGCGATTCGCGATTTTGCTAAATGAGCTGACTTTCATGCAGTCAGAATCCAACAAGTATTCTCCAGGCCACGCTGAGGAAAATGCTGTCGGAGGAGCAACCAGGGTTATGGGAGTTTGTTTCGGACTTTCGGCCTCCTCCAAGGCGGAGAAGCATTAATGGGGAGAGACGAAATCTTGCAGCCTCAGGCAGCAGGCGCGACGCGCGGTCATGTGAGACCTCGTTGAACTGTAGCCAGATTGCCATTCTTGCTTCTCGTCCAGAAGCCCTCTCAAGGTTAAACTGGAACCTTGTTGTGGAGACCATTGAAGTTTGTCTGTGTCGGAACACTATAGGCTTGAAGGTTTGTTGACGGGTCCATTTAGTCTGTGTCAAGTCTTCGACTTTGAATTGAGGATGGTAAGATGAAGTATATATCTCGTCTCCGCAATTGACAATCCCAATCAAATGCTCTTTTGCAAGACCCAACCAGGTAACGAAGACGAAGCCAATCAAAAGGGGAGCGAAAGAAAATAAGAGATGGTGAATGGACCATGATACCACAAACTTAAGTGACAAGGCTGAGCATTTACCACTGCAGTGAACAACTGACAACCATTGAAACAACAGCCGTCAACCTCGGCTACTTCCCCTCCAGCAACTCCCCCAACCGACGCAAGCGTATAGATATGCGTCTGTGGTCGACTTCATTGTCCAGACTTGCATACCACATGAGCCCATACTAGCCCAAGCCCAACGATTTTCAAATCCACAATCCAGAGATATCTTCAAGACAAGATGCCTGTACCCACCACCCGCGCATACAACGAATTGGACGAGTTCGAACGTCACGTCCACAGCCTAACCGAGGGTCCTCCCCCCTTAGACCCCGACAACAAAGTATGTATACTGTACTGTACTGTACTGTGTAGCTACATGGCTCCCGATCCCAAGTGCTTTGTATCACTAATGATTTGGCGCCCAACAAGACATGGGACTACTCCCCGCAAGCCTGCAACCTGCGCTTCGAGTCCGCGACTCGTGGTGCCGGGGCCGGCGGCCCCGCACGATGCTCCTACCTGTTCACCACCGTGCCGGCGCTCTGTAACTTCGCCGGCAACTTGCACGGCGGCTGCGCCGCCACCATGGTGGACTGCCTCACCTCGGTGCTGATCCTGGCGCTGTCGAGCCCCGGCCGCTTCTCGACGGCGGGGACCACGCGAAACCTCCACTTGACCTACATCCGTCCCGTGCCCGTGGGGACGGAGATGCGGCTGATCTGCGAGATGGTCAATATGGGCCAGCGGATGGCGCTGGTGAAGGCGGAGATCTGTCGCGCGGAGGATGGAAAGGTCTGTATTGTGGCGGACCATGAGAAAGTCAACCTGGATGGCTCGTCGATGTGAAGAGGGACTGACTGGCTGGCTGGGAGGGGCAATGTTGGTTTGTTGCACCCGTCGGTCGACACTAGCGCTTGTTGTACTACTTCCTCTCTCTTCTATCTACTTGCAGAGCCGTTTTCTCTGACCTTCGGGATCCTTCTGCTGACTGTGGTCTTCTGTGTTGTCGACGCTACTTACGATAGAGCATTTTTTTACAGCCCTATGTGTTCAACTCTCAGAACAACAACTCTTATTCACAAAGTGGTGTGGTGCTATGCACCTGCGAGCTGGGTTGATATGAACATATGTAGACCTGTCCCTACTGTAATAATATCGTATGCCAGAGACCAAGGGAGCGGACTGAGTCCAAGAGCAATATGTGGTATGTTTCATGGGCGTGAAGGAAAGTCCAAGAGGAATTATGGCTCAAGTCAAAAACGCGCATCCGAAGCGACAAAAAAATTACTGTACCCTAGTATGCAAATGCTGGAGGCTGATTTACTCCACAAGTTTCTGATCTTCCCGGAGACCCTCGACCTTCAACTCTTCGCCCGTCGCACGACGGTAGATGTCCCGGACATCATCTATGAAGATATCAGCAAAAAGGCTCAAAACCTCTCTCTCATGGAATCCGCAAGGCTTACCTGTTGTGGTCTCGAAGTGGGAGGTAGCATCGTAGCTCTTGGAGATGAAGATGTTGTCCTTCTCGCCACTCTCGATGGGCTCGTACAGAGGAATAGGAGCACTGAAGAAGGTCTCCTCAATCTTACCCAAACGCTCGAATCCAGGCTCCAGTTCGATGTGGTGGTTGGCATCGCTCTCGGCAATGGTAGAGACAATGGCGATATAGTATCCCTTGGGGCAGACATTGTGTGCCGAAGAGACCATAGCAATGTAGATATCTGAATTATATTAGTACGTCGTGTGATCAGAGGCGGTTGCAAATAAACATACCATGCTTTCTTCCGACCTGAGACTGAGGGATGATAAGTTGCAACGAGTCGCTGCCGTCGGTCTTATCGATGGGGTGGTTGAGGATACAGATGGCCTTCAACAAGTGGCCAGTAACGCGGACCTTGCCAGGGAAGTACGAGGGGTCGGCGAGAATCTTCTTCGTCTTAGTGGTGAAGCTCATGGTCTCGCCCTCGTTGTCACGGTCCTTCATGGTGGCCTTGATTCCGGACACCTTGCCGCTCTCATCGTAGAGGACCTCATCCACGGAGGTGTTGAGCATATAAGTACCGCCATAGATAGCAGAAAGACGAGCGAAACCCTGGGGAAGCTCACCCAGGCCGTAAAGGGGATAGATGTATGGCGACTTGCCGTAACGGGCCATGGAGTTGACATACAGGCGGATGCGGTTGATGGTTTCGGGAGCCGCTCCGGGCTTGAGGAAGTATTCATCGGATTGGTAGAGAGCCATGGAGTGACCAATGAAATCGCGAGTGTTATCCTCCAAGCTGAACTTGTCGTAGACCTCCTTCATCGTGCACTGGGTGATGTCGAGGCCTATCCCATGTCAGTGTCATGAGGTAGTAAAAGCACAACTTCTACGAACCTTGGTGAGTGGAGGGATTGCTCTCGTTGAATTCGCCCACCCACTCCAAGAACTTCTTGGCTCTCCGCTTCTCAAACATGCCCATGAGGGAAGAACGCAGAGCTTCACCGGCATCCGAGGGCACCTTGGCAACGGTGGCCTTGGGACCCTTTCCTTGCTGGACGTAGCTGCCCGCAATCTGCTTGAACTCGAGGTATCTCGTGACATCGGTGGAAACCAGAATGTTGGTCAAGTCGCCATTGGCCATCAACAGCTTGGGAACCAGGTCGATGTTCCAGTCGTTGACACGGCCATACTTCTTCCAGGGCTCCTCGCCGGGGCGAACGTTGCCGTACTTCTTAAAGAGCTGCAAGGTGTAAATCAACTGTTAGCAACACTGACACAGAGTATGAAAGAGGCTGTAGATACTCACAGTCTCAATGTTAACAGAGGCAGCCTCTCTGAACGCTTGGTTAGTGATTTGTGTGATAGCAAAGGTGGTGGGAAGATAGCTCCGGCGGAGCTGCCCAAACTTACCCTCCGTAGTGATCATTACGGTCAATGTGAAGGACCTTGTTTCCCTTGACACTCAAAACACTGTAGAAACCATGAGCAACTGGAATATATCCGACAGCGGTATGGAGGACTTACCCAGAAAGCACACACTCGGTCAAACCTGCGGAGGGGGGAGGGGGGTCAGTATAGCTTGGGTGGAATGGCGGGGTAGTAACATACCGGTGCCGAGCACCACGACATCATACTCGGGGGCGATCTCATCCATGATGTGAGATAACGCTGGAAATCAATGACAATGTGCAAATGAGTCTCCAAAGGAGTGATAGGAGGATGGGAATAAATATGGGCAGTAAGTGTATAGGGGGGAGAAGATGGAGAGTTATGAAGCACGGTGAGTTTAAAGGAAAGGAAAGAAAAGAGGAGAGGAGGAGGAGGGAGAGGAGGAGGAGGAGCAGGCCCGTCGAAAGGAGGCCGACCCGTCAGTCTAAGGCAGTCCAAGGGTAGATTTGGAACCCCCCGCGGATCATCGATCACCTTCTCGAACCCGTTATTATTTGACGCCCGCCCACCCAGGCTCCACCAAGGCAATTAACGTTGGCTTTTTTTCAGGGCGACTGCCAGACCTTGAACCTCCTTAGACTCTTAGACTCACGGGTTATGGACTTGACTAGACTAGACCACGAGCTCTTGGACGGTTGAGACCAAACCAACTACTCATACTACGACTGCGACAATAAATACGACCCGACTATTGTATGGTAGGCACCAAGACAATGGACCCGTAGACCAAGTTAATTTATCGGATGAATCATGAGCCCCTCTCCCAATTTCTTCTTCTGTGACCTCCTGAAACTCCTGCCCCTTTTCCCAGTCGGACTACGTAGCACATAGCACATCGCCAATCGCCAATATTCTCACGGGGATTATTGCTTTCTGCTATGGACGGTCTACTCCGGACTGGCCAAAGTGACTAACAGCCGACCCCGGCAACTATTTGCACGCTATCCATATCGGTGCCCTAATGGCTTGATTATTTGCAATAGCCATCGGAAGTTTCCCCTTCCAATCATTCTTCTATGGATGTCTTTCAATAAATTCACAGACATTTCTCCCTATGATCTGAGCGCAATGTATAGATTCTGAAGCAAGCCAATGCATGGTAAAAAAAAAGGGGAAGTTGCAAACTATACTACATACAATAATACAAGACCAGTAAGGTGGACTTCCGTCAATAGAGCCCTAAACTGTGTCTTCAATGACATAACCAATGGTGGAATTTACGCTTTCTCAGCCTGCTCAGGCTTCTCAAGGTTCTCAGACTCCTCAGACTTCGCAGGGTAGGATGCATCCTGAGTACCTTCATGCTGCGGCCGGTATCCATTCTTGTAGAGCTTCTGAGCATCTTCCCAAGCGTACCACCTTTCTCGCAGAACGTGCTTGATGCCGTTTTGCGTAACGCGAACCTAACGGATCCGTCGAATGTCAGCAACCATACTGATCCATTGGATAATGAGGCAAAGGTCTGGATCGACGTTGCGAACTTGCATCGATTGTAGCCTATGCGAAGGGGCAATGACATACCACACGGTCTCGCTCGTTCGCCTCGTATTCACCATAACCGGCCTTCAGTCTCTCTCTTTCCAAGTTGGAGGTGGCTATGCGGTTGCGCTCCTTGACGCAGACCCACCACAGAGAGTGGAGGTCATCCCACGACTTCTCGCGGAGTTCCTGAATCGACCATGAACGACCTAAGAGATTGGAGAATGAGTTGACTGGGTCAGACTAATCCTTCAGGAAGAGAATTGGAGAAACGAACCGTGGGCGGTATCATATTCCGGGCTGCTCAATGCCTGTCGGTCCTTGGGGAAGAATCCCCAGAGTCCATGGTCGGGGGTAGGGTGACGCTTTTCGACTTCGCCGCGAGCGACGGGCTTGGGCAATGGGTACTTCGACACACCCAGCTTGAATTTCGGGCCGGTGCGGTGGATGGCGGACACACCGCGAGACTTGCTCAGGTCACGTCCGTGGCCCGCGGCGGCAGCGGTGGACGAAAAGTTCGAGGCCTGGGCCGGCGACCGATTGAGAGAGAAATGGAGGGACGGGGCGAGGTATGGAGGAGGCAATTCACCCAGGGGAAAAGCGCCGGTCTGGCGAGCCAGACGCAGGACGGCCTGGCGATGCATTGTGAGGAGCGTAGCCTTCGTAGTCGGAGGGATCTCTAACACAATATGTCCGTTCTGCGGCCCCGAGGAATCAAAGGCTGACGGAGCGGAGTTTGGGCGGCTAGATCACGTGCAGGCGCCGCTCCAGGATGCTCCGTGCAACATCGACCCATAGGGCGAGCCAAGCGAAACATTCCATAGGCAAGGAAAAACGCGGTCGGCCAGCAAAGAGAATACCTAGTTCACATGAATCTATACTTAGGAATTAGTCTCTCCCAGTCTGGAAAGATATTGGCCCATGTATACTGCACAGATCGAAGCTACCTACCTAGTAGTATCTAGTAATCATTACTGGCCATGTCTTGCTTTTGGTAGTATCATGTGCATACAGAGAAACCTCCCCATACATGCTCATCCTGCCTACTCTTCATCGTCTTCGGCTAGAGATGAGCACTAACTAATCTGTTCACGACAAATTCTTAGTTTTGTACAAGGTAACGTGACCAGGAGTGTTCTGGATGCTCGTGACCCGAGCGGCTAGTCATGGATGGTCCGTGCATCAAAGAAGAAGCGCGCGGTTGCAGCCACTCCGCCTCCCAGTACCGGCGCAACAGTGTGGGTAGAGATCCTAGCTGCACATTTCCTTCTTATCGCTGTTACGCTGAAGCACTGACTGTCTTCGTGGAGTCCCGGTCCAAAACTTGACTTTTCCATAGAATCTACTGAACGCCCGCCTCTTTGCACAATGAACAGGCCAGGTTTGTCCTTTCCAACCTTCCCTTTGTCTTCGTCATGACTGGCCTCGCTGCTACGGCCGCATCATACGCCCTCGATCTTGGATACTGTGTTGCCTTCCATCGCCCCAACGTTCGTGTGGACGGTCCCGAGGGTGCTTGATGCACGGTACCGTGGCCGTTCTCTACTTGTGTTTCAATCGCAAAAATCCATTGATGGTTCCTGCCATGGGCAACCACGAGACCTAGCAGCAGCATCTCCGCACCCTCCCTTCCGGCCTCACTTGAAGGCAGTCGCAAGATGTCGAGATATTCTAGCAGAGGCTCTGACTGTGTCGCTGACCGCTTTTGCCCACTCTAGGAACAGGCCCACAACCCCTACGAGGCATGGCCGGCTTCCCCGCACAACAACAGGCACAAGCTCGAAACGCAGCATTAGCAACGGCGCGGTTACCGAACGGCAAGATCGGTGCGACCTTTTTCTGATCATGGCCATTCTACACACCCGCAAACTGACAATTGTGGCTGGCATAGGGAGCGGAGCGAACTGGAACTTCAACTTGCCTGTAAGCGGAACGCCAGGGATGCAAGGCAGTCAACAACGCAGCATCGGGACAATGGGCACATTCGCTCAAAGCTTAAGTGGATCCCAGCCCACTACGCCACTGGATCTCTCGTGAGTTTAGCACTCGACCTGTAGGGCTTGACTTTTATGGATCAGCTCATCGAGGATACCCATGTCGGTTGAGTTCATGACTGAGAATCATTGTTTCTCCTCACAGGGACTTCCCCTCGCTATCCGGCGCGGCTCCACAATCACAAACCCAAAACCCAAGCCATATAGTATGGGCAAATGCCAGCCAGCGTGCTATGCAGCAGACCCCTGTCCAAAGACCGCAACATGCTACGTCGCAAGCGCCTCAAAGACCACCTCAAACGCAACCCCAACACCCTCAACAGCAATCTCAGCCCGCACATGATGACGTATTCCCCTCCGGCGCGCAGTTCGCCAATCGTTTGGAAGATTTCCGGAATGGTGGTCAGGGTATCAGTGGTCAGCTGAGTGCCGGTGGACAGCCGCAGACGGGCAATATTGAAGAATTCCCTCCGCTCGGACGTAATGCGCCTGCAGACCTTAGTCAGGACCGAAGAGGATCGCTGATGCAGGGTGCGGGACTTGGAAACTACAGCAGTGGTATGCCATTTTCTGGAGTGAACCAGTCCCAATCTGCACAAAATCGCAACATGATCGCCGCTTCCATGAACGGACAAGAACGAATCATGTCCCCTGGTGGTGCAAGCTCAACAGGTAAGTCGCAGTGGAGCGCGTTGGCGCCGCACGGAGCGCTAAGGCCACGTTCTAGGTATAGACAACTCGCGATCCCCTGTGAATCAAGGCTCTAGCAGGCTTCTAGCCCCCGAAAAAGAGGTATTGACCCCGACTCGGTGACATTTTGGCTCTGAAACTGACGAACTATAGCAGGAGGTCAACAACTCTGTAGCGTCTAATTCCGCCGGTTACAGTGAACAACCAACAATCATGCGACCGCCAGGGTTTCCGGCTACGGGTAAAGAAGCGTCTGCTGGGACTGCGCAACCGGTCGATCAATCGCCTTTCGCGGAAATGAGCGAATTGGACAAGTTCGGGCTAGCGGGACTGTTGCGCATGATCCATAGCGATAATGCGGATGTTTCAAGTCTGGCAGTAGGCCAGGATTTGATGACGTTAGGGTTGGATTTGAACCAGCCGGAGTATGCATTCTACCATACCCTATGCGAAAAACATGTCGACTGACTCCTTTAGACCATTACATACGTCATTCGCTTCACCATTCGTCGCGTCCATGACAGGCGCCCCTCTGGAGCAAGATTTCGCGCTTCCTTCATGCTACAGCGTGGCTAACGTCCAACCGTTGCAATCGCGGATTCCGAGTTTTAGTGATGAAACGCTCTTTTACATCTTCTACAGCATGCCCCGAGATCTCCTACAAGAAGTTGTAGCCGAGGAACTGATGGGTCGGAAATGGAGATATCACAAGATCGAGCGGTGCTGGCTGACTCGTGATGAGACGTATCCCGGCCCTGTTGACGTGGAACGTGGTGTCAGTGAAAGGGGGGTTTACCTCTTGTGGGATCCTACCAGCTGGAAGAAGATCAGAGTATGCCCCCTCGCCATGCCCTCATTTTGATCTTGTCTTCATAGTAACATACTAATCTTGCGATCTGCAGCGTGAGTTCATCCTTCGCTACGAGGATCTGGACAACCGTATGGATCCCAACCGAGGGCTTGCGCGCGTCGGATTCCCGCACCACGGGTCATGAAAATCGACACGGACCAGTCAAGGTGGAATGGGGTCAGCAACGGCGTTCGGGATCACTGATTGTTTCCGTAAACAGTCGCTCTAGATGTTACTAGTAATAGCGGAGCACCCGGTGTTCTCTACATTCTGTGGGAAAGTACCTTAGTACATATCTCAACCTCAATCAATGACTCCGATGATCTGAAGTTCGGTTCTTGGTGACTATAATATGCGCACATTATATTGTAGATTGGAGAATCATAGGTAAACTTCCCTCAATTCTCTTCACTTACTTCCCACCGCAACAACAGCCGACGGCCCCATATTTACTAGCCCATCTACCCCGAATCTCTCTTCC